CACTTTTATTTTGTTTATTGCGATATCATTTTTTCTGGTAATTAAGTAAGTGTTTTTGTCTTTATTTTCAATACAGAATATGAATTATGCTGAAATGGTAAGTCACCACCTTCTTCTTCTGCATGCCCTACCGAGTAGCATACAATTTGGTTGTTTTTATCAAGCCTAATTTTTAGTGTTTTTTTTTGTTTATGTTTTTTGTTTACGTTTCGTTTACGCCTTCGTCGAATAAATGATTTTTTATTATATTCTATTAGTTTCGGAATCGCAGTATTTATATACTGCGATTCCTAATAATATATAATAATTTCTAATATAGATAACTTTTAAAAATGTCGAAGTCCTGGTAAAGGGGACGCGAATGTACTCCATTGAGTACATATAACACAATACTATGTGGCCTTCGCTACTTATATTTATTTTATACATAAATAGCAAACTAACTGTCTCCGTGGCCGAACGGTTACCTGACATACGGGTCGGCCATGCAGAGGTCCCGGGTTCTAGTCCCGGGCCGAGAGAAATATTTGTATGGTATACATTCATTTCTCTCGTGAGTTTGGGTATACGAGTAATTCGTGGTTGTGTATGGGTAGGTTACGTCTATGGCACCCGCGACACAGTGTTTCCCTAGTGCGGCGTTATAAGTGTGTGCGTTATTTTTTTTTATAACAGATTTTAAGTAAAGCTTGACTATAATAACATCTAAACTTACTGTCCAATACATCGATCAGACCCTCAAATTCTAAATATGCAAATAATATTTTTCTGTTAAAAAGTTCAAAATCGCATTAAAATTATTGCATTAATATCCGTGCTTAAGTGCGTTTAGCTCGAGATTAGTTAAATTATTAAAAAAAAAATTTCAAAACAATAACATTTGAGATGCTATCAATTTCCTGGATTTATACCGAAATCGCTTCCAACATCTTCCAGGCGAAGTAGTGTGGTACTAATCATGATCGAAAACTGCAGATATGTTGTTTCGTGAAACAATAAATACTACCAATCATCCATTTAAAAATATTGCACAAGAGCAAGTTTTTGTTGTGTCATCTAAAAATATCACACAACGGTTTTGTTGTTACGTGATAGTTTTCACCTTCTGTGTCGACCGCCACAAACCTCAATTGCGCTGTTCTGAGCTACACGCCTGAGACATAAGTAGACAAGTCCCATGCGACCGTAATTTTACCAGCACCCTGACCCTTCAAAACCGGAACACAGAAATGCTCACGTTACTGCTTGGCGGCAGAAATAGGTAAGATGGCAGAACTTCCCTGGACGAGCACTTTCACAAGGAGTTCTTTGACAATATGTGGAGTAGCATGTGCCTGTAATTTCACGAGCACGCTTGCTACTGAAATAACCCACACCACTGTCTCCCACAGCTGGCAAGTATTTGTGATTTTAACTAAGTATTTCTAGTATCGAAAACGTCTATTAGGTTTCCACTTTCCACATCAGGCGGATCGTCTACTTCTCGTGATATACGTTCAAAATAGCCTTTCCGAAAAAGAACGGACTTGTATTACTCGAAGCTCATGGGAGGCATTAGCCACTTGCAACACACCAGCAGTTGCAAATCGAGTACAGGTCGTTCGTCCCTAAGCCGCATTCCACGACAACAACAAGAAGATAAGGGATACAGATAATTATTCATGAATGATACCTATTTATTTAGCGAATTCTTAGGTTTTCGCGATTGTTACACATTGAAAATGAAAATATTTTCTAAACCGCGTATATTTGTTTTTCCCGTGAGAATGGACTTAAAATCAGCCCGAAAGGATGGTTTGTTTTAAATATACGTGATTTTAAATTCGAAATAACAGTAGAAATGAAATGATGAACGAAAGATGGAACATGAATACAGTATGCAAAAATTTCATATTAATTTAATTAAAACACTGTCATTGGACATGCACAAGGAATAATCAGTTATGTAGGTTACCTATCAGAAGTCCGAAATGATTTTTCCAGAAATAATATTTGCTCAAAGTAATTTTGAGAAGAAAATGTTTTTTTCTTTTAAACCTTTTTGTTTTCCTAACTTAACCGAACCTAATCGTGTCTTGGAGATAAACATCCAAAATATCCTGAAAGAATGAAAATTCTAAAAAACGTTATTTCGGACAAAATACATTCGAGTTTGTGATAGGTTACCAGTTATTTAATAACAATAAAATAAAGTTTCATATCCAATGATATTTACCTAAATTATGGTTTTATCAAAAAGTGGTACACTTGGTGGTTTATCAAAGCAATTCCAATGGTATCAAGACTTAATTGCCACGTTATTACAATAGTAAGATACTGCAATATCATGGAGTGGTTAATATCAAAAATATCTTCACATCAATAACCGGTCACGACTCAGCAGAATCGAATGAGACTCGACAATCCAGCCGAATGTGTTGTTGAACATTGTAAAGCCAGCGTTACTTTCTCGAGTTTTAGTATAATCACTAACGATCTGGTGAGCATTACGTTTTGTTTTCTGTTTCAATATGAATGCAATAGTAACGAGTAGACATTATGAAACAAATTGCAAGTAGACGACTTAGGCAACATCTTGATTTGTAAAAATTCTTTAATTGCAAATTGAACCTTTATGACAGCTGTGAGCATTTATGAACATTTATGATAGCTGTAGTCTACATTTTATTGTATTGGGCTACTGTGGGATGTGGCCTCTGTGACTTAGTAGCAGTAGAGCCCCATGTGAAAGAGTTCGTCCAGGGAAGTACTGCCACCTTACCTAATTCTGCCGTCAAGCAGTAAGGTGAATGAATATTTTGAAGAATAAACGTGCTCGTGGAATTATAGGCACATGGTACTTGTCAACGTATGTCTCAGGGTGACGGGCGCACTGGCAGTGCGCCTCAGATCTTTGCGATTTAAAGCTCTAAGTGGCACTGCAACTGTTATGGACAGACGTGCTGCTTACCATCAGGCCCACGTCCCGTCACTTGAATTATTAAAAAAAAATGAAGTACATTAATATTTCAAGTTATAATAAACCATTTTTAGCGAATACTTAAAGTAAAGAGAACGACAGAAAGTCTTAGAGCTGCATCGAACTGCAACACAATTACTCGATTTGGCTTATAACACATTGTAATATTAACAACTATATAAAATATGACGATGTTTACTTCAATTTTTTTTGTGAAATTATATTACCCCAAAGACGAAGATCTGCAACAAGCGCATAGAAAAATTCGTAAGATCTGCCGATGCGTTCCGTAGCTCAGTTGGGCGAGCGACAGGCACGGTACGCTGAAGGAGCTGGTTCGAATGCAGCCGAATCGAAGAAACTTCTTAGTGTTGAATCTTTGTTTTAATATTTTTTTTTCTTTTTTGTACCGCGAAATATACGCAATCAATAAATAAAGATTGTTTATTGATAGGCTTTTATAATAAATTATTCTTGGTCTGTATAAGTTATACAGACCAAGAATAATTAAATAACAGAATTACAGATCTGAGGCCCCTTTAAATGCGACGGGCAGTAATGTTATACAGTATAACATTACTGCCCGTCGCATTTAAAGGGGCCTCAGATCTGTAATTCTGTTATTTTGTTATAGACTCGTAACTTGGCGAAACAAGTTTCTTGGTTCTATTCTAAGGTAAAACTTGTAGATTTATAGGGCGACATTTTTCTAAATCGAACCAGAAAGGTAGTTCTGTCGAATGGAATAAAATTTATATGAGGATTTATCAATAAAGATAACTTGCCATTAACATGTTTATAATATACACGCAGCATGAACTTATAATGTACATTTTTATTATTTTTTATAATATTAAGTGACGGGACAAACAAGTCGTGTGCTTGATGGTAAGCTACACTCCTGTCCATAACAGTTGCAATGCCACTCAGAACTTTAGATCGCAAAGATCTGAGGCGCACTGCCACTGCGCCGGTCACCCTGAGGCATAAGTTATCAAGTCCCATGTGCCTGTAATTTCACCAGCACACTTTGTCCTTCAAAACCGGAACACAGTAATGCTGTCATTACTACTTGGCGGCAGTACTTTCCTGGACGAGCTCTTTCACAAGGAGCTATACTGCTACTAAAATTGTGAAATTATGTTCGTAATACAAACTTTCACTTTTTAAACAGTAAATCACACAACAACAAACAACAAATGAACACTTATGTAAATGTTGTAATGTGCACTTTTAAAAAAAAAATATTGAAACTGGTAGGTACCTACTTCGATTTATACAAAAAAAAAATTAATAATGAAAATAAATATCTACATCTTACTTTTTTCAATTTAAATAATTCGAAACTGAAAATGATTATTTTATTATAGTGTCGTGTATTATATGATATTAATTTTGCAAGTATTAGATAATATCTTTAGTACCTATAATATTTTTATTCTGAGATTTTTCTCGATGTTAATGGCTTATGTAGTATGTACCTACATACTTACTGAATACCTGTTATTAATCACTATTATCTCTGTTATTGCCTGGTTCAACAGTCGATTGTTGCAATCTACTCTTAGAATGTTGTAATTTTATGTGACTAATGGTGTACATAGTTCAGGAATGTTGTACAATGCCATTTGCTGGCGATAGTTTTGTTATTGTTTTCGTTATAATAATTATTCCTCGGCCTACTAAGCGGCTTCGATGAGCGTTAATTAATAACAGCATTTGAATTTGTTTATTCTTAATATATTCGCCTTGGAACACTAAATATTTATTTTTGCCGCGATCTTGAAAATATACATGTTTGATATAATGACAAGTAAAGCATACGATATAGTGCACAAGTATTCAAATGTAATGTATAAGTAACATTTTATAACTTTGATAACAAGTACTCAAATTTCACAAACGCGAGGTCATTGGTACTTTCGAATTTCAAGTTCATGTTACGTGGGCAGAGTCTCATCTCGAACCGCCTCAGGCATGCTAACAAAAAACGACAAAATAATAAGATAATAACCAACCGCTCGCCTGTTTTGCCACTTACCTTTACGAGATTTCCAATACAATTTCCTCAGATAATAAGCAACCGCGACCAAGAGAAGTGCAGCTATAAATGCTCCTATCGCCGCACCAGCCACGCTGCCAGCCCCAAAACAATCCCCAGCATTTTGACCAAAAACACACGGTATTAAGACCGTCACAAAAAACAGCAAAATAACACCCATATTATTTGTATTTTGTTAACTCGTTACTCACACCGTACATCACTATTTATGGCACATGAAAACGTTACGGCGTCCACCAATCACATTCCTGACGAAAAAATATTTGAATATCGAATCCGGAATGTTATGACGTTTTAACTTTTTTTAAAAAACAACGCGAAGCAACAGACGTGCGCTGTGGCAGCCAGCACGGACAACTGTGGCCGCACAGGTATGAACGTTGTGGATTGGCTCGTTGAATAGGCTTTACTTGTGGGACAGAGAACGTGTATGGAAAACTTGTTTGTACAGCGATATCGTGAGCGAGCGGTACCTGCGCCTTAAGGGTCTGAGTATGTTTTAAATACTCAGGTAGGCGGCTGACACTTAGGAATCTCGACTGTGTTTATAATTTTTTTCAGTAATAATAACGATGAGACTTCTCTCACATAGCAAGAATATTGATAGCAAGAACAAAGGTGTTTCTCCCGGCAAAGAACACAAAATTGATTTATCCACTTACCGACCAAGTACTAGGTACCTTTTATTTCTAAAATAATTTGCAAGCAAGCATTTGCAAATTTATATTTTTTTTTTGCACAAGTAGTTCGTTATCGATGAATGTCGCGAGAACACAATTTCAAATGTGTTCACATCTTTTTTTATACCATGTATACCTATATTTTTTATTTACAATATCTCTCGTGAGTTTGGGTGTAATTTGTGGTTGTCTATGTGTGTGTCCATGATACCCGCGACACAGGGTTTCCCTAGTGCGGGGCTATGTTGAATGTACGCGTGTGTGCGTTATTATTTCACCAGCACCCTTACAGTAATGCTGACATTACGGCTTGGCGGCAGAAATAGGTAAGGTGGCAGGACTTCTCTGGACGAACTCAATATCTCATGTTCTTTACCTTCCACGACGTAAGTATTAAATGAAAAATATATTGACTCAGTTGAGAACGTTATAAGACTTCTTGTTTGTTGAAATCAGTCCATCAAAGCGTTGACGATCCATTGTTTTCGCATAGGTGTATTACTTAAATTGTCGCCTCAGCCTCAAAGACAAAATAATTTTATTTTATAGGCGTACAAATTACACTAGAAACCGTCATATTGATTAAATTCTACTGCTCATTTGTAAGGTAGATTCCCTAGAGAAGGATGAGCAAGAAACTCGATGTTGCTCTTTGTAAATAAAAATTGGTACACCTTTATCATTTGCAATATTAAGTTCAAACATTATAGATCGAGATAACTGCAAGAGCTAAGCGGGTCACGATCATGGATTTTTGTTATCCAAGCACGCAGAAGATGTTTAATAAGCTTTAGTATAAAGTTTTTGTTTCACTATAGTTTCAAACTTCTTGAACTTGTGCCCGTAAAAATATACACAATTTCGTTAAGAAAGAATATATCCATAATATTAACCTTAGAACTAAGTCCAAACTCACGGTACCACGATTTAGTTTAACTAAGGTAAACGATTCCTTTATAGGGACTGTATACGTTTTTACTTGGAAGCTCAATGGTTTTTACAATAAGATTCCGGAGAATATATTAAGATTATTATTTTCTTCCTAAGTTTAAATCTTACATTAAAAGTATTTTTATTTGAAAAGTCGTATTACAAATTTGTAGACTACGTGTTAGATAAAGATTTATGGAAAGACAAGGTGAGTCTAGATTCCACACAAATATGATTCAAAATATATTCCGTAGCATTTAACTTTATTTAAAAAGAACAATCCCTAGAGTTTCTTGCTCGTTCTTCTTAGGGAGGTCAGCGTAGTAAACGAGCAGTAGCTTAAAAAAATGACGTTTTCAAGTGTAATAATCTCAGTACGAAGTGCTAAAAAACCGACCTCAAATGTACGTGGAATTACATATAATTACTAAGTTTTATTGAAATCGGTTACCGGAAAGTGCGCAAACCCGGATTCATCCCCTAGTTCGCTACTATATGGGACTTGACATAGGACATAATAAAAATCGGTTCTCACTACTCAAAGTATATCGAGAGAGAATAACGCCTTGAATTGGGAATAGCAAAATCAACCATTAAAATAATTGCTCCTTATAATAAAATTTAGGCGCTATTTATAAAAATGAATCTTCATGCGTGAACAGCCACCCTTACCACCACCACTGACCACTATGGAGGTACCCTCTTTCCAACAAAACAAGAATCATGAAAATCGGTTCACAAATACCGGAGTTATCGCGTAACATACAAACAAAAAAACATACAGTCGAATTGAGAACCTCCTCCTTTTTTGAAGTCGGTTAAAAATTTTACCTATGGAATAAACAATTATTTGATATTGTTGAAACTATTTCTTAATCGTTTTTAAACAGATTTTAAGACTGTTGGAAACAAAATTGTACGAGTAAACCATAGCAACGGTTCTTAGCAGAATTAAATAGTGCATGAAATCCCCTAACTGGACTGAACTTACAGATTTATTGAACGGGCCATTCAATTATAACTTCTTTCAGATGCTATATTATTTTAATAATATATTTAAAAGCAAAATCAGTAAAATCAAAGTAAAAATACATAACCCAAGTTTTCTGTCTAATGCGCCGAAATATTTTAAATTCTGTATACCCAGTTATAATTAGAAATCCCTGTTTTGTAGATAAAGTGGTACAACCGCCAAAGGTTTATTTGAGACTGGAAATGCTCTCGTTTTCCCAGGTCGAGATCAACCGGAATTGAAAAAAAAATAGTGTTGTGTCCTCAGATTAAACAAGGCAGATAGAGCATAGGTACGCAACAAACGAAGTGAAGCCACTTTTCAATTATTGTGTGCGTGACGACTAGGAGGGGTACTGTAGGGACGTGCGCATTTGTGTGCGTATAAAATTGCCAGATGCTGCGAAAAAACTCCCGTATTTTTTTCTGTTGCTTTCTAGAATGCTGTTGCGAACTGAAAGTGTTATTTTGTACTTAAGTGGTATTATAGGTACTTAAGTGGTATTAGGATATCAAACAAATTATATGCAATATAGGTTAATATTTAATAGTTATTATTTGATTTACATCGCACAAAGGAAAGAAAATATATTTTAAATTGGAAAACTTTGATAGTTCAAAATATTCATTACAATCACAGTTACACAATATGATAATAACCTTTATTTTGTACACATTTTTTCGAATACTACTGTTTCGCGTTCATACATCGAGCGTTCGTTTCTAATTTTGATATGTAGCGCAATCTCGCCATCAAATACTTTTCTATTACATTTTTTATTAAATTAACATTGTAATCAATTCCATAGCATTGACGATAATATTCTAATTTGACAAAAATTGTTTGTTTCACAATGAAACTCTTTAGAATCAAGTATGCATTTTCTTACAAAATCGCTCTGTTTATGACATGTGCACATAACAATGAAAGTTCTCTGTAGTTATAGGGCTAAAATTTTAGCTGTTTTTGAACATTTTCTTTTATGTGGTTACATTATGGCGATTAGAGATTGGTTTAAGAATAATTTAGATAATTCTGAGTTACCTAATAAACAATTTTGGATCGCTGTACTTGGACCATTATGTGTGTATATGCGTGCATTATTTAATTAATTTCTATACAAAAGTATAAATTATTTGATGCTCCTATCACCCATGCATTATTTACATAATTTAAGGACACTAATTTGGATATAAACTGGCAACATATACGAATTTATGTCGAGGTTTTGTGTTCCGAGTGAATCTCAAAAAATATCGGGTAAATAAATTATAAAACAGTTAAATTAACAATAGTTCCCTGTGAATGGATATTCTATCTTATTTTTTTGTTATTGGGGACAACTTTTACGATGCATTTTTAAACATAAAATAACTGATCACTCGTGACGTGCAAACAGTGCGACACTGAGCAAAGTACTGACGCGAGTTTGTATTCGCTTTTGAATATGAATTTGCTTTGGTGGCTTCAATTTCGTGTTCGTGTTTTGTAATCCAAGGTTGTGTCCAAGTCATTCTATTTCTGGGGTATAAAAATGTATAGCAGTACTTTACCTATGTCCTCCTTAAGTCTGCTGTCATACACATCATTAATATACTAAGGTAAGTATTTAAAGCAATAATGAGACATGTTTAGCATAAATAAGCTATATGCCTCCATTACAGCTCAAAATTTACGAGTTGTCTTATAAAAGACGCTCATTTGCATTGACGACTAACTTTAGGCATAATAATCATAATTATTCCTCTTACCTTGAACATTTCTTGGAATAAATTCTTGATAATTTTGTTTTTATAAGCAAAACAACGTTCTATAAATTGAAAACGTTAAAAAGACTAATGAAACCACGGATTAAATTATTTTTACCACTAACGACGCGACGACGTTAATTTTTAAATGCTTGTTTGCCATTTTTGTACAGCGCCATCTATTATACTTCTATGTAACTTATGAATGAAACAACTGTGCTTGTTAAAAGTTTTGAAATGTAAAATAAGATGGCGTAAAAAATATTTTTTAAGTGTAGCAATGTTTCACAAATCGATTAAATTGATCGATTTAGATATTGTACTTTTCACAACGATCATTTATTTGTTTATTTATTGAGTATTAGTTAAAGAGCCATCGGCTAAAACAGGCAATAAACAATTAGGAAACTCAAAACGTAATAATACTTAAACTAAAAATTAATTCGTGAAAAAACTGAAACTACAAAAACCCGCCATTTTTTTAATACTCAAAGCAATGATCATAAACATGTACAGTCAAGAGCACATCAAGTTTAACACTTTGGACTGTTCTTATCGTAAGCGGCATAGAATTTTATTTGTCTTAACTGTCAAGCTTGACGTGCTCTTGACTCTGTACGAAAAAAGGACTTCTCATAATGCATCATCTTTCTATTTAGAATCTTAGTGGTAAAACTGTGCGATGTTTAGAATTATTATATACAGCTAGCGTCAAGAGAACATCAGTCTGGATACTTAAAATTTAAATTTAAACTCCAAGCCGCTTCCGATGTGAAGAAACACTGCAGTGTCAAACTTGACATGTTTTTGACACTGATACATTTTAAAACAGGACGTAAATATTTTAAGACAGTTGTGAAAACCTAAAACATTTTTCTTCGGAATTTAAAAAAAAATGTCGCTTAAACCTTTTTACACCGATTTCAATCCAGTTTTTCCAGAACAAAACACGTTCGTTTTATTGTTTTATTGCTTTTTCGCCTGTCCTCGAACCGAACTCGCCACTGTCAGCGAATCGATTTTATTATTTCACATGGTAACAAACAAGTATTTTGTTTGACAGCTCAAAAATATAATTTCGCATGAAAGCTGGCTTCCTACTTCGGAAATTTAAATACTTTCTGTTGTATATTGAATAAATAACGTGATTATTTCCTTTCGCATGAAATTCCATCGTTTCTAACATGGAAAACGACATTCTAGACTCTTTAAATGACCTGGGGTAAGTTCCAAAATAAGTAAGGTTATGCATTGTTATAACTCAAATAATTGTAATTTTATGAAATTCTCGAGTCTTTCTCGTAATTGCAAGTTGCAAGTGAAAATTTAAGTATTGTCAACGCTGTATAAAGAGAACTTCTATCTATTTTTCGATAAATCGTTGGTTTCGATACGAAGCCATATTGACCGTAATTAGCCGGTTTTACAGCCTTTTTGTCTTATTAAAATTGTTAATACCTACCCTTTTCTGTAATAAATTGTTGTTATAAATTTTTCTATTACGCTATGTTGTGTTTTGCAAGATATCTACTAATATTTTTACATTGAATATTTTGCAAGTTAGTGATTTGTATTGTAAATTGCACAATATTTTGCAGTAAATAACAGATCATTATAGAATATAATATATAGATTGTTATATATAGTTTATGATGATGGATATTAACATAGATAGATGATAGATACATAAAAACTATTCACTTCTATGACAGCTTATTTGCAAGGGCTTCGCTAAAACTAACACCATAATTATTATTATATTGAACCACTTAAAATAACAAATGTTTATAATAAAAGGAATGTATAACTACACATGTAACTAATTAAAATAAATAGTTTTGGAAGTCATGGCAGTGAAAAGGTGCTGGCTCAGCAAAAATGCTGCAGTTTCCCATGACACTGGTATTCTGCCAGAACCATGTTTAAAGGTGGCGCTACTCATCAGCTCAGACAGTCATCTTGCGTACTACATATGTAACATAGCATAATAAGTAAGTATGGTAATTCCATACAAACATAACTTCGCAACTTGTTCATACAAGTCCATGCCCGCCACCCGCCGTGTACGGACACGCACACTCGCATAATCTCCCGGTGCTTTCGAGTTGCATAGTGAGAGTCGTCACATGCACTATTCATTACAGATATATACTGTGAAGAATACTTGGATTAATCCAAATTATGGTTTGCAACAAGTACGTATAATTAAAATAATAATGTGACAACTTTACGCTCCATGCAACGTATTAGTGTTTACATGCCTAATAGACAGGATGTTCCCCTTTTGTCTTATTACACTAAAATAATAATAACTTTTGTAGAAAAAAAACAGCTTTTTCATTAGTTTATATAGATATAAAATGGGATAATATTATAGTATCAGATAATATTATGTTTGGATAAACATTTGGCAGATTATAGGTAAAGGAATTGGATATCAAGATTGCACAAACATGACTGCAATTATAGAATAATGATTGCTGTCCAGATGGCCAGTTAACATTTGGCTGACGGGGTGCACTTTAGTAGGGAATAGGTTCTACATATGCCCTTTTAATGGTTATACTATTACATGTTGTGCTATTGGCATTAAATGACAAAACATCAAATATTAATAAGAAATATGATATATTGTAAAAGATCCTGAAAAACAGATATAATATTTGCTAATTCCCAAAATAGGATCACCATGCCACGATTGTAGTAGCATTAAAGAATACTTATTCAATGTAAAAAATAAAAAAATTTGTACATACCTTGCAACTTGCAGAAAAAATAGTTTTAATTTTTTGGAAGATGTGTAAAGTCTCTGATCACATACTTCATTGTACCAGTCCACCAAGAACTCACATGGTGGACTGGTACAAATTTCTAGTGTTACTAAAAGCACATGTGTATCTCTAGCAATAAGACAGGTTGAAATGGTGTTCTTTTCAATGGTAATTAATGTTCCCAGATATGATGGCCCTCTTTCTGATGAGGTGGCCTTCTCTAAGGCTCTTGAGGGTGGTCCAAAGTCTCTAGAATACACGAAACTCGTACATATCCTTGCTGAAGAATTAAAGAAGCTATGCAACCTCGAGGAAACAGTGAACATGATGAATGATCCAGATGAATCGAGTTCTTTCCTGCTGGAGTTGAGTTCATTTTTGAAAGAACTCGGCTGTCCTTACAAGAAGTTGATTACTGGTAAGCTTACATAATTTGTATGATAGTTAACTTAAAGAAGAAGTATTATGTTGAGTGTGTGCGTTATTTATTATATTATATTCTTACCAGGGATCAGACTAGGTAGAGTTTTTAACCTAAACTTCGAGGAACATAGACAGAAAATGGAGACTGCCTAACGACAATATTTTCCTGTTCGGGATTCGGGCAACCGCTTAAGTACATTAAAAATTGACGTAATAGGGGACAGGCAGGTACACTATATTTATCTTAAAATTTGCGACACAGTGGGTCGGATTAGCAATAAATAAATAAATAAAATAAATAACGCACACACTCAACACAGCCCCGCACTAGGGAAACCCTGTGTCGCGGGTGCCATGGACACACACATAGACAACCACAAATTACACCCAAACTCACGAGAGAAATAATTGTAGGCCATGCAACTATTTCTCCCGGCCCGGGAATCGAACCTGGGACCTCTGCGTGGCAGTCCGGCATGGTATCCGTTCGGCTACGGAGGCAGTTAAAGCAATATTGCGGACATTAGATTTTTTCACGAAACTTCTCTAAAAAATGCCTATCGAGAGATCTTATTGTCTTAAATATTAAATTAAATATTGTCATATCACATTTTGTCATAAATCTAATAGTTTAGTAGGAAAAAATAAAATTTGTATTTTTTGTATGGGACCATACTTTAGTGCCCCATCGTTACGAAGTTTTAGTCGATCCAGTTTTGGAATCACCACAGTAATTAACTGAAGAAATGACAAAACATCAGTATGAATTCGAAACAGAAGTTTTAATTTCCTACTGAAACAAATAAACACGAAAAACCAACCAATTTAATTTTATTTTCCTATATATGAAACAAGAGACTTTAATTTAAAACAGTTTTAGTTCCGAACCCTTTCTTTTCTTTCTTGAATTTCTTTTTTTGTGGGAATTTTCCTAAATATTCTGAAAAATTGATATTGCAACAACTCGCCGCAAAGTTCATATAAAACAGTCTAATCTACCTATCCCAAATAACGTCAATTTTTAATATAATCGAGTGATTTCCCGAATCTCGAAAAAAATTTAGAACCTAAAAAATATTCTCGTAATGCAGTCTCCATTTTCTGTCCATGTCCCTCGAAAAAAACCCAACCCATTCCGATCACTGCCAACCAATAATCGTATTTATGAGCAATTTTTGCCCATTTTATGACGCTTATAAGTAGTGAATAGGTAGGCTTGGGCGCGTGTTTAGTGTGCATATCTATAGAAGATAGGCCTAATAATACGTCTGTAATGATTCCAAGACTGGATCGACTAAGACTTTGTCATGGGGCACTAAGGTATGGTCCCATACAAAAAATACACATTTTATTTTTACCTACTAAACTATTAGATTTATGGCAAAATGTGATATGACAATATTTAATTAGGACAATAAGATCTCTTGATTGGCAATTTTTTTATTAAAGAAAAAAAATCCAATGTCTGCAATATTGCAGATCCGATCCACTGTGCGTAGCAATATTAAGATATATATAGTGTGACAACCTGTCCCCAGTTAAGTCAATTTTTAAAATTCTTAGGTGGTTTCCCGAATCCCGAAAAGGTCTGAACCTAAATAATACTGTCGTAAGGCAGTCTCCATTTTCTGTCTATGTTCTTCGAAAAAACTCTATTGCGATCCCTGATTATTACCTATGATTTGTGTCTATGTAGAAATAATAATAACTGCATATAATAATAAAAATAAGTGCCTCTGTGGCCGAACTTCCCGGATTCGTTTACCAGACTGGGAAAAATATTTCTATGGCCTACAATTATTTTTTTCGTGAGTTTGGATGTAATTTGTGGTTGTCTACGTGTGTGTGCACATGGTACCCGCGACACAGGGTTGTTATTATTATTATTATTTAGGATAAACAAAACAAAATAACAAGAACTGATTTCGCTATGCTCTGTCTTCTTATTGTATCGATGGCATACACTAATCGTGATGAAAGATTTGCCATTTTGCAAGGTGCTTGCCCAGGGTAAGTCAGATGTACCTGTAATGAATGGTACATTGTGCAGTTTTGAGTGGGTACTAACGTGTTCTGTATGAAAGTATGTCACAGAAAAAGGGACATAACACACTGTTGGAGATCCATATACATTTTCAGTTAATATGTATCCTTTCTACAGGGCACATGTCATCTCGTCTGCAAACAAAGGAAGATTGCATCCTCCTTCTAGACTATCTGATATCAGAGTTGATGGCAGCGAGGATGGTCAATGTGGACTGTCCTAAGGAAAAGACTGGTTCGGGCATGGAAATTGTTGTGGTATGTATATTACATAACTTTTTCACACCCGCCACATGCAATATAATAGGCGGTATGATGTCGAGTTGCTAAAAGCAGCTCATTACACCATGTCATAAATCAATTTATTTAATAGGCAAATTGGTTTCATATCTGTTACACACTACAGAGCATAAGAATAGAAAGTGAAATAGTAAGAGTATAAGAAAGAGTTTGTCCAGAAACGTACTGCCACCTTACCTATTTCTGCCACCAAGCAGTAATGTAAGTGTGCTGGTGAAATTGCAGGCACATGAAACTTCGAACTTATGTCTCATGGTGAGTGGTGCAGTGGCAATGCCCCTCAGATCTTTGCGATTTAAAGCTCTGAGTGGCACTGCAACTGCTGTTAACAGGCGTGTCGCTTACCACCAAGCGCACGACATGTTCGTCCAGTCACTTGTATCATAAAAAAACGCACTCCTGGGTAAACATATGCCCCGACCAAATAAGGCAAAAATCATTGGGAATTTAGAAAACTGGTCCTTTAATTTTTGGTCATAGCTCCAAGTTGTTGTTGCCAGTGTGCATAGAACTCCTGAACAATCCAATAATAGTAATAATAATATTGAGAATTCTCTTTTAGTCTGACATACAAAATGAAATCATGTATAATGGAATTACATTATGTTTCTGCTCACTTGTATGACAAAAATCCAAGTGTGTTATTTGTTCAGCTTGTTCAAGTGAATCTGAATATCCTGTAGGTACTTATGGTATGTAACATAATTATAATAAATGTTAAATTTATATTTACAATGAGTAACTCCCAGAGTTTATTAATCATTCTTCACAAAGGAACTTGATTAAGTACAGATGGCAACACCTCAAGCTACACATTGACCGATCTTGTTCCATTGCACTGGAGGCGATATTTTAACTAAAGTGTACATACAGCTTGATGTGCTGTTGTTCATAGTTATATATGTACATAGTTATATGAGCAGTATATTCACGGTTTGTGCAGCTGACTAGTAACTGCACTAACAGTGGCGGTCGACTGCATCCCAACTGCTAAAATTTAGTTGCTATGCAATCGGAAAGCATTTCGTGTGACTACACCCTAACAAATTAGTATTATTTCATTAATATAGTAATTTCAATTGTTATTTACTTAGCTGTTAAGTTAAGAAATATTGAATTTGTATTTACTTTTGTTTCTGTTGTGTAATGATTATACCGACGACTGTAGAAATTTGAAATGTCGTAAGGAGTATTTTGTCGTAATGAAAAAAGTTCCTTATTACAAAATGTTGCTTACGACATTTCAAAACTCTATACATCGATGAAATTATTGCCCTTATATCGACAGCGGAAATATGAAATGTCCTAAGAGACATTTTGTCGTAATGTCATTTACCCTTACGACAAAATGACCCTTATGACATTTCAAATTTCCACCATCGATATATAGAAACCTAATTAGATACTACACCATACATTAATCATGGTGAAATTGCGGGCACATGAGACTTGGCAAATTATGTCTCAGAGTGAAGGGGCGTAGTGGTAGTGCCCCTGAGATCTTTGTGATAAAAAGCCGTAAGTGGCATAGGCGCGTCGTTTTCCATCATGCCCACGACTAGTTCGTCCGGTCACATGGTACTATAAAAAAAAATTGCTATTATGAATGCTATAGTTTTAATACCCAGCAGTGGGCATTATTTAAAGGGTTGATGATAAAATTTCATAGGACCTTTTCAAACTACCTTCTCACGACTGCCGTGGCCATGTGCCTTAAACACCATCTCCATTTCCATCTCTGAGGTCCCGAGCTCAATACCCGGCCGGGTCAATGTGGGAAAACTAAGTTTTCTGTCTCGGTTTTTGTGGTCCCGTTGTTGTTATTCATTTCAATAGCATCGTAAAATCTTATTTGAAAAATGGTAGTCCAAAAGTGACATTATTTTTCATCTATACATCTATGACATGTCTACAGTTGTATAGCGCTGTACAAAAAAAAGCATTCGGTTCATTCAATTAAAGTTTTTGTAATTGATTAGTAAATCGAATATTTCAATCGCAATCGAACGAGTATCTAAGTGTTAGGATCTGAAAGAGGATTGAAAATTAAGATTTCGGAAATTTTAAATATGCTTATATAGATTATGTAGGTAGGTAAAACCGGTAGTATGACTGAATTGAACAAATCGATTCATTCAATTATTTAATCGATTTGTAGTTGGCATTACAATTATCCATCACTAAACCGTCTATGTTCGTGTCAGTGACTTGTTTGTTTACTTTTTGTTTAAAATGGATTGAAACGAAGTATAGTGAATACTATCCGACAATGACTGATTTATAAACTCCTGACGTGAATTATTTTCTACCTTCACATGTCGCACATGACAACTAATATAGTATCATCTCAAAATTGCCTTATATTTTTATTTATTTATTTTTATTTATTTATTAGATTTGCCAACAGAAATACACATGAACAAACAATAACATTACATAAAATACTCGAGTGTAAACCCAATAATAGGCAAATACAGCATGCACATATCAGAAGCTCGTGTCAAAAGCATTTTTTGTATGTTAAATTACAGACAAATTGATGAATAAAACAAAACCAATAAGTAAACATGCTAAATTAAACTGTAAAGTTATGGTACTTTTAGTCTGACCATTTATACAATAAAGTTTTATATTTATTTAATGACAACGAAAACAAATCTAAGTCAGTTAATCTATGTTTACATATTTTAAGAGAATTATTGTACTCTCGGCAAACTCGGTTCAAAATAGCATTGTAGCCAACGTTAGTTCTGAACTTTTTGATTTTAAAAAGACGATAGTTACTTGGTCTGGCGTTGCGACGTGGAATAGAAAACTGGAGTTGTGATAAAAATTCTGGGCAATCAATTTGCCCCGAAATCAAACGATGTACAAAAACTTGATCGGCAATCCAACGGCGACGTTGAAGGGTGCACATTTGAAATGAACTTAGTCTGTCCTCATATCCCTTCAATAAGCGCAGCCTTCGTTGGTGGACTGTGAGGAAAAAGAGAAATCGCTTTTGATCGCTTTCTATGGCGATCTATGTGATTTTGGTACATTGGGTTCCAAATGGGAGATGCATATTCTAAATTAGTACGAACTAGGGCATAATAAACTATTTTCAACGTCGTTACACTTTTAAAGGACCTACAATTCCTCCATACGAAGCTTAACATACGGAGAGATTTATTGATGATGCTGTCAAAATGATATTTGAATGAAAGCGCGCTGTCAAATATGACTCCTAAGTCTCTGATATGGTTGACCTCATCTAGAATATTTACATCGATGGAGTAAATGGAACTATGAAAGATGTAGGAAATGGAACTTTCTTTTTAGTAAATTTAATATGCCTACATTTTTTTATGTTTAAAGGTAATTTGTTATCTTTAGTCCACACTGAAATTTTATCAAGATCTTCCTGTAGCAATATTGAGTCAGTAATATTATCAATGGTTCTGTATATTTTCAAGTCATCAGCAAAAAAAATAAATTTGGAATGTTTGATGACGCTAGCGAGGTCATTTATAAAAACTAGGAAAAGAAGAGGACCTAAGTGGGAACCTTGGGGAACCCCTGAAGAAGCTAGAAAAGGGTCTGATTCGCAACCACCAACAACAACTTTTAGGAATCTGTTGTTCAGATAAGATGCAAACCACTTGAGAATTTTCCCATGTATACCAAAGAAACCCAATTTCTTGAGAAGTATTGCATGGTCCACTCGGTCAAAAGCCTTGCTAACGTCAGTGTATATAGCATCGACTTGTCGACCTTCATCAACACCTTGACAGAGATCAGAGACATAACATGCCAAGTTGGAGGTAGTGGACATGTTACAACGAAAACCATGTTGCTTCGGAGTCAATACTGATTTAAGGTGATAATTTAAAGTGGGTACAAAAATTGAATCAAGTAATTTACCAAATGTCGACAGCAATGAGATTGGACGATAATTTTGAATGATATTAATATTACCTATTTAATTTCAAAGCGACAGTGTTGCCCTGTCTCTTTGAAATTAAATCATATACGAATGACATACAAATACAGCGAAATGTTGTAGTTAAAGTATTAATATATAACGCAATTTTGAGATAAAATATAAATAACAGATCATATTGTTAGTTGTCAAGTGCGATATGTTCACATGAGACTTATCAACTTATGTCTCAGGGTGACGGGCGCAAGAGCAGTGCCCGTCATGTCTTTGCGATTTAAAACTCTGTGTGGCACTGCAATTGTTATGGACAGGCGTGTAGCTTACCATCAGGCGCACGAAATGTTCGTCCCGTCACTTGATATTATAAAAAATATCTTCTATCTTTAATTCTATCTTCTATCTTTGAATCTTATTCTATTTGAATAATTTAAATTTTCCAGCAAGAATCTCCGACAGCGAAAGATCTGAAGGATATACTGATATCTTTGAATTTCAACAAACCTCCTCCTAATATTACTGCAGAGATGCTGTTCTCCAAGCTTGAAGGCAAGCTTAAGGATACCATGCAGAAAAAAGGTAAACAAACTTAAATTTTAGTAGTATTATTTAACTCCACCATCACTTGTATTAACAAACCCAGCGAATTGCAATGTTCCAAAAACAAAAAACAATTGTTCTTAAATTTGTAAATTTGTTTTAAAAAAATTATCATTTTTTTAATTTATTTATATTCAGGTTACAAAGACCTATATATATACCTTATAAACTAACATACATAATAATATAATAAAAAAATAATTACTAATTATTATTTACACGTATTGTCTGTGACGTGTGACGCAACGTGGGTGTCCGGTAGGCGGCCTCGGAAACGTCGGTACATGACACCCTTCGGCCAAAACTCATCCTTCATGAAGGTCGACATATGTTGAGTTGGTACTCTCACCAAAATGAATTAAAATTCACATTGTGGCGGAATCCCAACTGCTCACCCGTATGTACTCCACAATATCGGCCAATTTTGTGGAGTAATGAAGCCGTGACACGTATAACAATGTCGTCGGTATAGCTGGACGCAGTATATAATTAGGGATTATATTATTTATTTTATATCATTAAATACTACTAAAACACAAATTACAAAAAAAAAAATATAAGCCCGCGCACCCTAACTTACGCTATTTGAAAACCCTGAAACACGTGTTTATTTATATTGTATTTAAAGTATCCAAACAAAGTTTGAAGCAAATCGCACCACGCGTTAAATATTCCCATACAAACTTTAGTGCCTAATGCCACCTTTAATTAGGGGTCGTTTTTAAAAAATTACATGCCAATCTTTTACCATTTCCATTATAAAATATTTACACTAAGTTTCATATCTCATTTCCTAAAATCATGTCACAACGTAATGATTATCGTATAATGATTTGTCTTTGGTAATTTGTTATTGTATTTTTTATGACGTAATATAATGTAAATGTGACTATTGTAAATGCAATGCTTTGCATTATTTATTTTAAAATTAATTTTCAAGGATATAAACCATTACTCGATGACATAAGCACTGACTTGTAATGTATAACATTGTTACCAATAGATAATTTCATTTCATGTTACAAATATAGGAATATAATTTTTACACAAACATTTCAAAATTCTTTCTTAGTACGCCTCATCGGGTATATAACCAGAAATAGAGACGAAATAAGGGCCATATATTCCTGGTAACACATTAACGATACAGCTCTTATAAATATCAACTCTCATTTGCACTGAAATATAGATAGGCCAACTACTGACCTGTGTGTACGTTTTCGTATATTCCAAAAAATATTCTGTATTTATTGTAATAAAGATAATATCTCTAATAATGCCGTGCTGTTCTCTTCGGTGGTGTAGGAAAAACAGCAAAACATCTAATTACAAAACGAACGGAATCACATTTCATCGGTAATTAAATATTAAATATGTAATTTTGCAATTCTCGTCCATTATGGCAAAGCTCAAG